AAGTTGCCTTGCTTGCTTTTACAGATTTTCTTTTGAGCCATTTGAAAAGAAATTGCAGATTTAAGGCAAGGACTCTTCTTACTAAAAGCTTGTATTAGAAAGTAATGGGTCCTTTTTTGAGTATTCCTTATTTTTTATTATTTTGCGTATGTTTTTGTTTCAGTCAAGACTTACTGAGTTTTTGAAATTGAAACCTTGGTGTTTTTCTTAATACATTTCTTTTACATATTGTTAATTTTTATTTTAAAACCCTACTTGTGTAGTAGGCAGTAGTTCAAATTCACAAAGTCATTAGCACAGAAGGAAGTTGAGACAGTCTGCTTGCATTTACATTAAAGCTTTGGAAACCTAATGAAACACTGCACTCTTCTTTTATGTTATTAGGTGCCATCAAGCTGGCTATGGTGCATTAGTGCTCCTTTGAATACCAAATCTGAATCTTGACCTATCCTGTGCTGTCCTTAAGATCTCTGACATGCTTGAGCTTATTGCTGCAGTCAGTGTATTAGCTTATCTTGTTCAAGATCATTCTCTTTCTCTCTCTGACCCATCTTTCCCCAGCATTATATACCTGAGAACAATCTGGAACAAGGGGTAAAATGGGAAAAAAGACTTTCGATGCTTAAAAAATATGACATGGCCTAATACGTTAATTTTAAGTTGATCCTCCTTTCACCCCTTTTAGATCTGATATAACTTAGAAACAAGCCAAAACACTTAATGATAACTTAGTTGATGAAGGTGGAATGTAGAGAAATGTTTTTGTAATTGGCATTTTCAGTGAAAGAGATACATGGTAGTTTGTGGAATACATAATTCAGTGAAAATTTTGTCGTTAACTCTAGAGATGCCTATTTCTTACTTTGACTTTCCCACTTATGTTGGGGATAGGTAGAAATAATTCTTTACTATATGTCATAATTATTCAATACCAAAGTATTATTCAGTGGTCTAATTGTTAAAATGTAGTCTCAGTGAAGAAAAAGCAAGTAGGTTTATCAGTACACAATCACTAAAAGAAGTGAAGACACTGAGTGGTATAGAAAGGCAAATGAAAATCAGTATTTGTAGGATTTGGGGAAAATGTGATTGACATTGTATAGAAGTGTTATACAAAGGGTTTGAATGATTGAAAAACTAATTTGCTTTGTCAGCTTTCACTCAAATCACAGTTAGAATATACATGTTTTATTTCACACTCTTGAGACTTTAAAATAACCCTTTGTTTTGATGCTATTTTATTAAAATTAATAACCATAAATAAGGCAGCAAACTAGAGCAAAGCATGACCTTTGTGAAGGGCTGTCATTAATTAGTACATGGTTGAACTTGAGGTTGAAAGATTTATGTGAGTCTTTCATAAGGGTTTGTTTTTTACAATCATGGCTTGAATTGTGGATCAGTAAGAAATGTGAACAAGTAACTCAGGATTTATAGTATATGTGGGATGGAATGCTATGTTTTATAAAACAACTTGGGGTTGGAATTTTTAACCCTTAAGAAGCCATAGCTGCCACCCAAGCAGATACATGCACACCCATGTTTATGGCTGCTTTGTTCACGATAGCAAAGAGTTGAAAACAACCCAAGTGTCCATCAACAACTGAATGGATAGAGAAGGAACTCATGAAATACTATACAAAATGGTTGACCCTGGGAGACATAATGCTGAGTGAAATATCTCAGTCACAAAAAGACAAATATTGCATAGTGCCACTGTTGTAAAATGGGACTGACATTGGGGTTGAGGGAAGACTGAGAAAGAGGGTATAAATAATGTATACTGCATTGAAACAGGTGAGAGAGTACTATTTAAAAGGATATATGATTGTGTATGTATGATTGTCATGACAGGAGTCCAGAATGAAGGCTGCACAGGAGAGTGACCTTGGGCGGAGAGATTGTATAACAGTGAAACAATTTTTCTTTTACTTTTCAGAGAGAAGAGGGAGTTGGAGGGGAGGGTTGGGCAGGGAGAAAAGGGCAACAATGAATGGAAATCCTAAGTCTCTGTAAACTTTCATTAAAATTAATTTTTTTTAAAAATTGTTTTTAGTACTGCCTTATACTGCATTAACCATTTGGCAGTTGATGGAACACTTGGATTGGTTCCAATACTTTTGTTGTTAATAATACTACTGCAGCATGCATAACTATGTTTGCTTGTGTTGCAGGTCTTAAATTTCTTTGAGATACATACTTAGTGGTGGGATTATTGGACACAGTGGTTTATCTCTCTAGTAGGACACACTGGTGACTTAGTGGTAAGGAATTGTACTGCCAGTGCAAACGTATGTGATTTGAATTCACCAGCTACTCTGTGAGAGAGAGATTTTTACTGTCTCTGAAAACTTGCTGGAGGGTCAGCCGTCAGTTCCAACTCAAATGGTACACAAGTGTACCTACTGATCTTGAGCATTTCTTTTGTGTGTGTCGGCTATCTGAAAGTCTTTTTTGATGTATTGTCTATTCATGCCTTCTGCTGATTTTATAATTAATTTTTTTATTGTGGAATTTTCTATGAATTTTATAAAGATGAGCCACTTCTGAGATGTGTAATTGCAAAATACTTCTTGTCTCTGGATTGTTTTTATCCTTTTGGAGAAGGTTTTAGATGCGCATAAAGGATTTAATTTTTTATTACTTTTCACAGTCTCTTTATATCATAGATTAGGGGATCCTGTAAGTTTTACCCTAGTTTATCCTTTGATGATCTTTATTGTTTTAGGTTTTCACCCTAGACTGGTGATCCATCTTTGCTAGTTTTTAAATATGATGTGAAGCATGAGGTTTGTTGAAATTTTCTGCAAAATCAGTTTTGGTAGCTTCATTTTTTAAAGAAGCTGTCCCTTCCTTATGGACGGATTTTCCTTCTTCCTTTTGTTCTATTGGAGTACCAGTATTTGGTGTTTGATATACCAATATCAAGCTGTTGATTACTGTGGCTGTGCCTTGAGTTTTGAGATCAGAAAATGCTAGGCCTCCTATTTTGTGTTTCTCCTTCAGTATCATTCCTTATCCAAGGTCTCTTTGCTTATAGTTAGTCTTTTCATCTCTTTGAAAAATGTTGATGGCATCTAGTAAGGTTTGCATTGTATTTGTGGATTTTTTTTGGGGGGGGTAGTGTTACCCTTTCACAATGTTAAGTTTTCCAATACATGAACATGATATCTTTTTTTTATGGTTCTTTAAGATTTCTTGTATTATTTAGTGATATTTCTTTCTGTTGGCTTTTTGTATTTCTGGTTATATTTATTCTTAAATATTTAGTCTTTGGCAGTAAATTGTTCTCTTTGAATTAGTTTTGTATATTTACTTGTAGCTTACCACTTTGCTGAATCAACTACTTGTTTTTGTTCTTGTTTACCAACATATCCTAGCTGGCTTTGAGAGGCAGTAAACCAAGTGAGAGATTATCCTATTTTCTCAGAGCAGCTGTTGGAGTCATACTGAGTATTTTTGGTTTGGCAGCACAGCTCGTTATCACTGTTATACCAGGCCTCCTTTTATTTATATAAGGGTCATACTATTTGCAACATATTTTAATTACATGTTTATATAAGGGCAGTACAAATAAGTGATGTATGAGAGACCAAATTTAAGGTATATGTGAATAAATGTCTATTTCACTGGGAAATCAGAATTAGTGTTTTACTAACATGACATTTTAATCAAATAGTACATAGAAGACGCTTGGTTTAAAATGGTAAAACACAAAACAGAATTTCAAGTATCTTGGACGCTAGACTTTCTAGAGCTGTGGAGGCTAAAGGAACCCTCAAAACTATTGCCTCGAGATAATCTTTAACCAGAAATCTTATAAAAGCAAAATAGTAATTTGGGAAAAAGATCCTCCCTGCGCATTATGTACACTTGTTTAAGGATGATCTGTATAGGATTAAATGTGCAACAACAGTGGGAAAAGTTAGACACATTAAGGGACACTGAGTTTGTTATTGAGTGGAAAATAGTGCTCGGTATGAGAATTGTACATTTATAAATTCTTTGAGTTGGTATATTTTTTGCTATATATTCTCAGCAACAAAAATGGAAATTTATAGGGTTCCATAGGCTACTTTTATCATCATCACCATCCAGTATTATTACATGATCCATTTGTAGTCTGTGTCGTCATAAACAACCAAAACAAAAACAGGGCAAGAATAGGTATATTTTAATTGATACTAATGAAATCTATAGCATTTTATACCTTGTAAGTTATCTATAAGTAGTATTTCTAGATTGAATGAATTTTGTTCTGTTTATTCCTGTTACATGCATAACAAGTCATTTCTCCACACGCATGTAAAATTGTAGTTTGAAGCAGAACTTATTGTTGATGCATTGAATGAGAATTTTCTTATTCAGGCAGATGATGCTAATATTAGTTATCATAGAAAGGAATGATTAGAATGAGATACAGTGACAGTAGGAGCAGAAATTTGTGGTCAAGTACTTGTTAAAAAGACCTTGGTGTCAGTTAAATTTTTATTCTTAGTAATCCTCCATTGGGTTTCTGAGGTTGTAAATCTGAATGGGAAGATACTGTTCTTCATAGAGTTAACAGCCTAGTATCTGCTGTGCTGTGGCCTCAGGGCTTCTTACTGAAGTGCTTAAAAACTAGAGAGCTCTGGCTTAATTATTTGCTTGACAGTTTCATGACAAAAGAATGGCACTTGAACTTAATATTAAAATTTTTGTTGGCAGTAGTATCATATAAAGAATATCCTCCTCGTTGTGACATGATAGTCTAATGCTAGAGTGTCTGAGAGGAGTTTAAATTTATATAAAGATCTTCATAGCCTCTAGTCTATGAATAGTAATAATACACTCATTTTTAGCCATCTGTTGCTGCTAGATACCTTTAAATTTTAAAGGGATCTGGTACCCTGTGAACTCTCTAGTTCAAAATAAGAATATAAGAGTTTTTATCAATTTTTATTTTGGATTTGGCATATGCTCACTTGAATGCTTCTCCCTTCTCCATTCCAGTTTTTTAGCTGTGTGAAGAACTTTATCAGCGAAGATGGCCAGCAATGTTACCAACAAGACAGATCCCCGCTCCATGAACTCCCGTGTATTTATTGGAAACTTGAACACTCTTGTGGTGAAGAAATCTGATGTAGAGGCAATCTTCTCGAAGTATGGCAAAATCGTGGGCTGCTCTGTTCATAAAGGCTTTGCCTTTGTTCAGTATGTTAATGAGAGAAATGCCCGGGCTGCTGTAGCAGGAGAGGATGGCAGAATGATTGCTGGCCAGGTTTTAGGTAAGTTGTGAGTTGAAATAATTTTGGAATCAGGAAGTTTGTGCTACTGTTGTTCTTTCTCTCTGTTATGCTTTCCTTCTCTAAACAGCTAACTACTGGAGAGATTTTGTGTATTGTAGCAGTGACTGCAACCTGAACAAAAATGTTAGGTGATGTAAATAATTGGTTGCTAACAGAAAGAGTTAGTGGCTTTGAAATCTTGCCCAGTGACTCTGTAGGAGAAGGGCCTAGTCCTTTGTTAAGATGACAATGAAAAAAACCTCTTGGGGTCATTTTAATCAAAATTGACAGCTAAAAAGAACAAACATTTTCGTAAGTACAGTAAAAATTGTGTAAGATACATAACAAATATATCAAGAAAGAAGTTTCCAAAACATTTTCCACTAAAACAAGTGATACATAGGTGGCAAAACTATCAGGTCAAAAATGGAAAAGTAGATGGATGCAGTAGTCTGTTAATACAACTCTGATTGTAGTAATTAATCATTACACAGTGAAACCAATCAGATTTGCATTCCTACTTGTCTACATCAACTGAGATTTGACAACTGATATGAAAAAAATCACTTTGTAGTAATTAATCATTACACAGTGAAACCAATCAGATTTGCATTCCTACTTGTCTACATCAACTGAGATTTGACAACTGATATGAAAAAAATCACTTTGTAGTAATTAATCATTACACAGTGAAACCAAAGTGATTTTTTTCATATCAGTTGTCAAATCTCAGTTGATGTAGACAAGTAGGAATGCAAATTCATAGTGTAAGCATCTTACTAGTGTGTTGGACAGGCTATTTATTCTGCTTGAGCTTTACATTTTTTCATCTTAACCACACAAACATTACTGTCTAGTAAGAACTACTCCGAGCTGACAGTCCAGCATGTTTTGGGAGATTGTCAGTCATCCTGAAGGAGAATAGTTTATATTTCTTCCAAGGAGCCACTGGTGTATTCCAAGAGAAAGGCATTCCTTTGGGTTAGCAGCACAACCTAACCTGCAGAGTGCACCACTAGAACTCATCTGTAACAGTGAATAATAATAATATAATTATACCTCAGAGGGCTTATTACCTATTTTTACTTTGGGGAGCTGTTGTTTCCTGTAAAGCCTTTGTTGTATATAATTTTTAAAAAAATTTGTACTCCTTGAAAAGATAGTTTTTAACATATGTACAAAGCCTGTTTTAAGCATTTCATTTCCCTTTGTTCTGACTTTTAGTAATTTGAGCTGAACTATTTTCATACAGTAGTTCAAATTTTAAACTCTTGCCTCCATAGGAGTATCCAGACACTTACTTGTTCCTGTGTGATTATCTCTGAATAATTTTCAAATTGATTGTCAACATCTGTTTAGAGTCATACTAATTTGATATATTCTTTTGGCCTTGGGAAACTGAAGAGAGTGTAATCACTTTTACTTGTTAGGAATAAGCATAGTTGACTGTATTCCTAAGAATAGGTAGTTCATGTGTTTGTCAATATAATGAATTTCTAGAAATTCTATTGATAGTTTATATCATATAAAATTATTTTTATACTTATCTTAGAAGCGAGATACCATAATCATGAAGATCCATTGCACTCTGGATGTGCTGACCCCTGTGATTTCCCCAAATGTGGGAAACCCAAATGCATAATTTAGTTGTAGTGGGGGACTGCATTCATGCTCTCCTCTTAAAAAATTATTTCTGGGAGCTCTGGTGGCCTAGTGGTAAGAAGCTGCTTTGCAATCCTAGGCGTGCAGTTCAAATCCACCAGATGCTCCACTGGAGATGGCGGGGCAATCTCCTGTGCCAGTCAGATCCGATTCAGTGGCACACAAGTAAAAGAAAAAATACTTCTTGTTTATAGTAACTCACTTGGAAGATGCTTTTTGAAGATAAACTAGTGAGTGCTCAAATTTCACTTTGTTTTTTAACATTTGGAGGCTTTTGCATTGACTTTAACATTGAAATTTTAATTTTTTTTCCCTCCCATTGGTGCACATTTTCTTTCTCCCACCCACAGTCCACCTCTTATTCCAGATTGCTGTCATACATATGCATTAGCTTTTTTAAAAATTAAGCTAAATCAATCCAATTTATAATTCTCTTTTTTTAAGATTAAAGTAGTTCGTTTCCCTCTTCTATGTCCAAGTTGATGCATCTCTTTAATAGCCTTTAACTGCTTACTGACTAGAATACTAATTAGAAAATAGATGTTAGTTTGTTAGGGCTAGTGGGCAAATCTAGGAATTACCTTTTTTTTTAGACTTTGAATGGGTTTATTAATGATAAAGGGATCACATGGTTTTACCAGAGTTTAAGGTGTGAGAGCTCTAACTCAAAGGGAACAAGGTTTATTTTCATGACGAGATTAATGGAATCGCTTTGATTCATCAGAGGTTTGGTGCACTATCCTTTTTTCCTTCATGGAGTTTACCTAAGGCTGGATAATTGAGAGTCTAGGAGAGGTGCAGGGGAATGTCCTCAGGGGCAGTTTGGAGATAAGCAGCTTAACTGCCATGGAGTTGGCAGTTTGGAGGCTGGGGCGGGGAAGGGCCTGAGCCTTCTGGAGGCAGTGAAGATGAAAAGTGAGGGTCCACCTGCAGTGAGTCGGGGCTGTTCCGAAGTCTTGTGACCAAGTTAGGTCGAGCAGGTGGTCTACTCATTCATTACTCTGGAATCACAATCCCAGCTGAAGTGCGGGAAACCACTGCCGAATAAAAAGGCCAAATTAGGAATTACCTTTTTAAAAATTGTGTCTTTTAAAAAACCATTAAGTTCCTATTCAGATAATTGTTATACATATGTTTAATGACATTAATTCTTCCATTTTTAAATTTAAGAAAATACGTAATGGGTCATACTGATACACTAGATTGCTGGATGTCCATTTACTATTTAATTTTACATGTACTTTTGTACCAGTTCAAAATAATGACAGCAGGATTTTTTTTTTTTTTTTATGGTGAGAAAAATTTATTACATTTAGAATTAGCCCGCTGGACTCAGTTTAGATGATCCCAATTTTGTTGGCAACATCCAAAGCATCATAATCAGGAGCAAGTCGAACATAGGCCTTCTTCTCTCCATCAGGCCTAATCAAAGTGTTGACCTTAGCCACATCAATGTCATAGA